CGCCCTGTAGCAATATTTCTGCCATAGGGTGGTCAGGAAGCGGCTACAGAAGCCGTTTGTGTTATGGCGCTGTGTTACTTTAACTAACAACTGCGCGGTCATGTAACGCTGCACCAAAATGAAATTTATGTCCTTTTTTATCCACGAATTGAGCTCTCTTTCGGTGGTATTTGATCACCTGTGCGGCTTTTAATTTTTTGCGCAAAAAAAAAAAAAAACACAACATTTTGGACTTCTTGCTATATAAATCATGCTCCGTAAAAAAATTTTAAAAAATAAAATTTTTTCATAAATGTAGGCCAAAATGTATTCTGCGATATGTCTTTGCTAAATAAAATCCCAATACGTGTAAATTAATTGGTTTACTTGAAAGTTATAGTGTCTATAAAATGGCGGTATAGACATTGGATTTTTTTTTTTTTATACTAATAGCAGCGATCAGCAACTTATGGAGGGACTGCGGCAGACATTCTGACACGGGGGGAACTGACTTGGGATCACTGACATCCCCAGCGACACCAATACGAGGAAGGGATTAACAATGAGATGCAATCAAAGGGTTAACTCTGATGTGAGTGCTTTACTAGGGGGCGGGGGGGTGCTTCACTGTAAGCACACTGATCGAGACGACTGTGCTCATCCATCCCGATCAGTGTGCCCAAACTGACAGGGAGGAGAGCTGCATTCTAAACAATGCAGCCATCCTCCCTGTCAGTGTTTGTCGGCAATCACCGGGCTCTGGTGGGTTATGACCTGCCGGGACTCGGTGATTGGCAGCGTGGGTAAAGCAAGCGCACGCCCCCTACTCCAAAATGCAGGACCATGTTTATATATGTGATCCTGCGCACAGGGGCCACCTTGCCGCAGTATATATAAAGGATTGGATAAATAGAGATGAATATATACATAAGATGGAGGAGTTATATCATATGGATGACGATAATATGGAAAAATTCTGAAAAGCATGGAGTAGATGGTATGAGTTTAAAATAGCCAAAAGATATCTGGGAGGCGGTCGGAGTATAAAGAACAGAGAGAGTTTAAAGGAATGGCAGCAGTGTTTCATATGAGGGTTAGAGAGAGGAGGCAAGAATGAGGGAGGTAAATATAGACAGAAGTATATAGGAGGAAATAGAAGTAATGAAAATAGAATATGGATTGGGGAAATTTATTTGGAGGGCGGGGGGAAGGGATTAGGCAAATTTATGTCAAATTTGTATTTTTTTTTAAACTTTCTGATTTTTTTTTTTTTTGCTAAAAAAAGAAAACATAAGTAATAATAATAATAATAATAATAATAATACAAAAAAAAAATCCAGAATGTACGGATTCGAGGAGATTGAAGCCCACTGAGGGAGAAAGGTCCCCAGTCTTCCTCCCACTGGGACGCTCGAGTCATTGAGACTTGGCAGGGTCCTGAGGAGGACTAAATATGATCCCCCCCCCCCCCCTTACCCTTGTTCTTGTGCCCTGTCCAATGTTTCTTGGGCTGAACATCCTCACTTTGCTGGACCTGGAGAAAGATCTCTTTTTACGCACTGGAAACACCCTATCAGCTGTACACTCCAAGGCCTCCTGGAGACCTCGACCAAAAGGTTATCGCCTGCAAACGGTAAGGTACAAAGGCGTAACTTGGACGCCGAGTCCCCTGCCCAGGTCTTTTAACCATAGCACCCTTCTAACTGAATTAACCAGGGCAGATGTTCTCGCGGCTAGTTTAACTGATTCAGCCGAGGCATCCGAAGAGCAAACCTACTGCTCTAAACAGCATAGGAAAGGACTTTCGTATTCGCTGCCTGGAAGCCCCTGCCAAGAGATGCGTCTAACTGGGTAAGCCAGCATTCCTGATTTCTGCCAACACAGATGGCAGATAAAGCTGGCTTAAAGCTGATAAGAGGTAGAATCCCAGGCCCTCTGGAGCAAGATTTCTCCTCTTATCCATAGGATCATTAGAGCCCCCATATCTTCAAAATGTTAGATCTGTCTTTTTAGAGACTTTAGATGAGGGGGCATCCAACTTTGAAACGTTGTTCCATGGCTGGGATCCATCTTCCTCAAAAGGAAATCTACTTTTAAGATTACCAGTAAAGAAAAAAAAAAAAGAAAAAAAAAAGGGCTTCCTTTCAGGGTTTTCCCACTCCAGCTTAATGGTATCAACCAGGGAACTATGGACTGGAAAGACCCTAGTGTTTTTAGCATGTAGACCCTGATACATGAGGTCATGCTTAGACAGACATACGTCGTCCTCCTCAATCTCTACGGTTTCATAGTAGCCTTAAGAAGGTCATCTACATCAAGGGCCAATTTTGTACCTGGAACCCCTGAAGGAGCAACCTTCTCAGTCGTCCTCCTCTGAGCCTGACCCTGGTTGTGAGGAAGCAAGGGACCTAGGATCTTCCTCTAGGTCCTCCTCCCTTCTCAATGCCTCTGATACCGCAGTACACGCAGACTGGGTCCAAGGCCCCAGCGGCATCTGCATTCTATCCAGCAGGGATCTAAATGACTGAAATGTAGTCATGTCATCCTTAATGGAGGTGAAAAACCTATGGCAGGCTGTAAATGACTTAATTAGACTATGCACACACTTGCAGCATAAGGGCTTTTCCCAAGCTGAAACCAATTTTGCCGCACAAACTGCACACTTCCTTTAGGGGGCCTGACTCTGTGTCTTGTCCTGGGCTTTAACCTACAACAAGCAGAAAAAAACAACAAAGAAGATAATCAGCCCACACTCCTCATTCCAAACACCACTGTGCTGGGGGAGAAAATGGAAGTGTGCCCCACCGTGACCGGAGACTCAGAGACTGGGAGAAAAGGCCACCGCCAGGAATTAGCAAGAGGGAGACACAACTCCCCAAGCTTACAAGAAAGGAGCAGGTGCCTGAGGAACCAGTTCCACCTGCAGGGAGGGGCCAGCACCCTCCATTATGTTCCTTGTGGTGTGGTAGCCACAGCCACTGCTGTGTCTCTTCACACTGCACCAGCCGCCTGAGCACTGTTTCCTGCGGAACTTCCGGTTTAACCAGCTTGGAGCGCAGCTGCTCCACCTCCTGGAAGTTGTGGCCGCCTGCTCGGTGGTCAGGATGCTGACTCGGCCACTGGCGGTAGCGCTGGACACCCTTAACGGTCCTCCTCCTCTGAGGACTGGAAGGCAAAACAGGAGTGCAGCCCCACTACTCTACTAAAAAGGGAGGGATCACGCCAGGCAAGGAGGAGGTACTTACGTAAACAGGAAACACAAGCACCACCCTTGAGCCTAGGACTCCTAAATGGGTTCCTAGAACACATAACCTGTCCTTCCAGAGGAAGCATGAATACTGTAGAACTGAAGAGGGAGGCCTGGGGAGGTCCACCTTTTAAGGTTCTGGACTTACATGTTTCCTGTCCCGAAAGGAGGAGCTGCACGTCTCAAGGGGCTGTCCTGGAAGACGTTTTTGAGAAAAAGGGAATTATAGCGCAACTCCTGTAACCAGAGCTTTCTAGCTTTATTACGACATGAGCTTTGTTGTCAGTCAATATGACATAATGAAAGAGATAAGCACAGACAAATTAATTATGGAAGTTGCAGCTTTGCATATTACCCAGTGTTTTTTTTTTTTTATAACCCTGTTCATATTTGAAGAACTCTACCTCACTTCAGAGGTATACAGATTCATATAAAGGAGTGAGACCTCTTGGCTCTACAGCTGTCTAGGACCTTTAGTAGTAGGTAGATCTGTGTGGTGCTCCTTTGATAGGTCATACTTGGCTTCATAGTTAACCCTCTGGTTTTGCCTATTGGATAGGTGACAAAGATTAGCTGCACCAACATGCCCAGATATTTATTTTTAGAGGCTTTAACCAATGATATCATTCATCAGTTCTTTGAGTTAAAGAAGAGATTAAACATGCATTTTGCTGCCTAAAAATAGAGATCACTACACATTTAAATACTCATCTGTTTCCTGAGTAGAACCATGTTAGGAATTACAGGTATCTCTCAGATCACAGCACCCTAACTGGCTTCATATGCTTTTCTTTCCAGAACGTTGGAGCCATCTGTTTTCAGGCATTATCCAGGAATAGCATCTACTTTTTGGACTGGGATGCTTTGTTATAATTATCACAATCCTTGTACTTGTGCCAGGGGCGGACTGACAACTCATGGGGCCCCCGGGCAATAGGGGATCATGGGGCCCCTGTGTCTTTGCCCAAACTCAAAAAAGCCTATGAAAAAGGTACCAGGGGCATCTCATGGGGCCCCCTACTGACCCCGGGCCTTTGGGCAGTGCCCGAGTTTCCAAATGGTCAGTCCGCCCCTGACTTGTGCAGTTCTTGGCGGTCCAACACAAATCAGCTCCCTGCTGCAATCTCTCACCTTATGACTTACAAAATTACAATCATGTAGTCTGATCATTGTGCGAGTCTTTTTCCTACCTACAGAAGACTGAAGACAATAAAACACAGATTTACTAAAAGGAGGGGAGAATCTTCACTTAAGTGAATATTCACTATCCAATCAGATGAAATGTATCTGCACAACTGGGTATTCAGATTGAACGCAACTACAATTTGAGTGAAGACTTAACTCCTTTAGTAAATCAACCCTATTATCTCAGCCTAGTTAAAATTACATGACTAGAGGAAAGTATTAACTCCAACTTGTAGAGTCACTGTGCACCATGGTTCTCAACTTCAGCATATTCTACAATAAAACCCTTGAAAAAGATTTATTCAGAATCTCAAGTGCCATATAAGATCCACAAAAGGCAAGCACCAAGGGCATCTGGAGCATTCTAGCATATTTTCCAAAATAACATATGCAAAAAATATTTCAGGGAACAGAAAAAAAAAAAAAAAAAAAAAAAGTCTAACTAAAGAGAGCTGTAAAGATCTACAGGGACAAGTCAAACTGTACACCTCCTTTCAAGAAAATTCAATTACATGGATTGTGGCTTTTTTTGCTAAGGTATGGAAGCAGCCAAAATACTGCTCGTCATGGCTAATCATCTGTGAGTTACCTGTACTTTTTCCTGTTGCTACAGTTTGTTCTCTTCCAAGAGGGGATTCGTAGTTAAGATCAACACCTAAGAAAGGCAATAAATAAATTACAAAAAAAATAAATAAAAAAAAAAACACAAAAAACAATAAAAAAGGATACAATTTACATATTGGCACAAAGTATGCATATGCAATACTTTTTCAGCTTCTGTGGCAGCTGTAAATCACTGTAACGGCCACGATCATCCTTGTGATGTGTTCAATGGAATGCAAAGTGGTCCTTGATTGGACAAAGTAGAGAGGAGTTGCAGCGGCATCACAATCTCCACCCAATTAATTTTTTTCCTGTATGTGTGTTCACACATGCATTTTACAAATCATCTCTATCTCTGTTATTTTTACATACTTCTTCCGTCTGAAGTGCCTGGTTAATCCTGCCAGTCACGTTTCTTCCTTGTTCTAAATGGACAACACAAAGTGTAGAAGCTGATCTGTGCTTGCGTGGTCAGTTTTCATCCTTTGGATGGCCATTCAGAGGTAAAGTGCAGACACACAGCATATCTGTATTGGGTCGTTTGTTCAGCCACCTTGCCCCCTGACAAATCTCAGCCTGCCTCTGACACACCCTGGCTCCCTATCACAGCATGCCTCTTGAACACACCTTCTGATCAAGCACAGCCTGCATGTTGAACAGATTGTGGAATACAGTCACACTGTAGGGTCCCTTTCACACGGGGCAGACCAGTCAGCGGAAGGTCTCTCCGCTGAGCAAGCGGATGACAGGTCCGTGTCTGCTCCGCTGCTGCAGAGTGGACACAGATACAGCCCGCTGCCCTCTACGGGCAATCTGCCATCCAATCCAACAGAGGAGAACAGAGGTTCTAATTGGACCAACTTGAAGAAACGGGCAGTCGGGCCAGATCATAACGTCCATGTGAAAGGGGCCTAAGTAATATCTCTCTCCCCCCCATTCGTATCAAGAAGAGATGCATGGTAATAAAACAAACACACACACACTTTCTGAAACTAAACAAAAGCAGTTATGGTGCCTGTATAGATACAATGATATAGACATTTTCTAATACAGTTATATGTTCAGAACTACTTTAAAGTATAGCTAAAAGGCAAAACTTTTTTTTTTGTTTTGGATAAGTGGAGATGGATTAGAACACCTGTATGGTGTTTTTGCCGTCTGTGCCCCAGTTAAGGAGTCTGACCCTCTCTACTTGTCCTGTTTACCATTGTCATTGAAAGTGAAAGTAAAATAGGATCCCAAAGTTTGGGTTGTCCCCAGAAAAGTAAGAGGGGAGACATCTTCCAATGGGGATACTAGTTCTGGCGACTGGGGGTTCTCAAGGAATTCCCTTACATTTCAGGGATTTCCTATCACTTCCTGTTTGGCTATGGGAAAGGAAGTGAAGGGAAATTTCCACAATGTGACACAGATGGTAGGGAGAAAAAGAAAATAAATAAAATTTGACAAGGGTTATATTCGTTCCTTACTGTATTCCCAAAAGAAGTTTTGCCTATAGTTCTACTTTAAAATGTGACATACATAAGAAATTATTTAAATGCCAGGACAGAAATCTAATGCTAGAAAAATAGGAATAACTGGACACATACACACCTACAGGCTATATGCCAGGATGATACGTGCCAAGTTACAAGACTGTAGATGTGGATCTAGCTTCCAAAGATGAATGATCTACCATGAGAAGGGGTCCATTACCTAACTCTGGAGCCTCATGGAGTGAGCGGGGTTATAAGGAGTACACTGGTGGGCAGTCTCATTAAAGCTTTTGGTGTCCAATCACCTGAGGGTAGCAGCATATAACCCATGGTCTAAGAATTTCTGTGTCCTCTATTGTACGATTAAGATATAAAATGTGTACAGTGTGACATGGTCATCTGTGGCTCACAAATATCTCCTTGTTTAAAGGTCAACATCTATCTGGCTCTCTCACTACTTGTGAGAACACAGGAAAAAAAAAGTGCAGGTAAAAGCACTACCACACTGAACATGGAGAAAATTTATATATATATAATTTACTGCTTCGTAGACATGAAAAATATCCTTACCGTATAAAGAATCAACCATTTAGTTACTGGTAAAAATTGGTAAAGGCAGAACTTCACCCAAGTGAGTTGGAGCACTTAAACGCCCCCGCCCTCCCAACTGCTTTGCCCGCTGCCTTCTAGGACACGTCACAGATCCGAGGAGGCTGCGGGACCATTTAGGCTAGGTTAACATCTGTGTGGGTGGTGCTGCTGTGGATCTGCACGAAAATCCGTGCACCACCCGCAAAGAGAAATGCGGACCCGCGGGAAGGTGCTATTAGTTCTAATGATACGCCGCCCGCACTGGAAAACGCAACCATACTGGCAACCGGGCTGCATTTTCAGAAGTGCAGGGACTTCTCTGTGTGTCACAGGAGTCCATTCAAATGAATGGGCTTTTGTGCCTGCGCAGAACACGGCCCGCACGGCCGCATATATGTGAACCGGGGCTTACAGAGAACAGAGCAGCTCACGTGCGCAGTGGGGAGCTGTTTATGAAACTGCAAGGAGTCACAACCGGCTTCTCACAGTTAACATGCTGGTGCTGGGGACTTGAAGACAGGTAAAGAACTGGCTTGGGTGAGAACAGCACTGGAACCCTGGACAGGTAAGTATGTGTTTTTAAAAGTCGGCAGCTACAGTATTTGTAGCGGCTTACTTAAATTTCTGTTTCCAGGTGAAGATCCTCTTAAGTTGAATTCCAGGCGAAAGATAAAAAAAAAAAAACCACAGATGCACGCTGACTGAGCAAGAGAGTATCAACACCAGGGGGCAGTTAGTCTGTGCAGCAAGTTTACTTACTGGAGTAAACAGCAGATTACACAGCACAATGCTTTACAGTCCAAACAACTGGATGGGAATGTTTTAGTTTTTCCCCCTTTTTGATAGATACATTTGGCACCATTGTCATGAGAGGTAGCATAATTTGTTTTTGTTTTTTTTTATTTGTGGATACACATGTATACCTAAACTGGAAATGTGCAGAAAAATAAACATGGCCAGTTTTTCAAACATATGAAAAACTGTTAAAATAACAAAAGAGGGAGGACCTACATTTTGTTGAATTAAACTGAGCTTGTTTTTCTTCATGTTGGGTCCAAGGTGAAGGAACAATTACCCTTTTCGTAAAAAACTACAACAGAAATGTTAAAAACAAATATATTAGCAGTGGGTACTTTAACATTGCAATAAAATTATATGTGAAATTAAAAGACATCCCCAAGTTCTCAAGCAATGTCAAACACTTCATAATGCATAAAAGGCAGATCTATGATCAATAAGATAACCAGTCAGGAAACAAAGTTTCTCTACTCTTAAAGTGATCATGACACCTTGCTCATTAAAAAGGCAGAAGTGTCCACCAGCAAAGAAGTAACTCCCGCTGGATATAACGCCATGCGAAAACAATACCAAATCAGTTTCAGATAAATACTGTACATTTTGAAGGAATATCGCAAGAAAAGCACAGAACCATGTAATCCTTTTGAACGCTCCACACTGTTTATTGCAGTTTTTTTAAAATCCTGCCTCCTGCATGTTTTGGTGCAGGTTTGGTGTGTGAAAAAAAACAGAAAACAAAAAACAAACACACACTGCACTTTCCCATTGAAATCAATGAAAAACACGACAAAAGCACTTGCGTTGCGTTTTTGAGACATCGGCCTGGTAAAAAAAAACAAACCGCAAAACGTGGTAAAAACACATGTCCTGTAAAAAAAACACCACAAATGGAAGGAAAAACGCATCAAAAGCGCATGTGTGTTTTTGCTATGGATCAGTGTGAAAGTAGCCTGACAGCAGGTATTTTGCAGTGGCTATGACGAAGGAAAGAGCAAGTATGAAGCGCTGTAAAAGGATGGTGCAATTGGATAACACAGTTTTTTTTCTAATACAAGTGTAACATGACCATTGTGTTCATAGAAAGATACACATTTCTACAACACAGTAGCTGGAAACAAACATAAATTACGTCTGTGCCAGCAGTGGTTACCTCTTCAATAGCCTTTTGTCTTCTGTCCTCTGCTTCCTTATCCAGCCTAAAATAATAACAAAACTAATGAGACAATGTCACAATATTTGCATACAACTGCAGGGATCAAGTCAGAAGCAAGAGTGACTAAAAAGGCTCATGTGGAAACCCCGTTTGGCCAAGCTTGCAAAAAGGTTCTTTCCTTAGTGGCCTGAATGTTACTTCTATTAACTAAGATCTTGACCATCAAAACATTCACAACACAAAATTAATGCAAGGTCACTTTAAAATTTAAATCTTAATAAAAAACAAAAACAAAAAAAGCGGGGAACCCCGAACCTCTCCCCCCCCAAAAAAAGCACATCCACAACAACCACTTTCTCTTTTCTAGCAACAGTCCCTACTCTATGTGCTTAGTGCAGTTTACATAGCTTGCATGCTGACATTGTACATAACCTTACATGCATTTTAAAATGTAGCATGTTTGTAGCCCTGAACAAGCAGCCTTACGCAGTAAGTATATAAACCAACAATTAAATTTCTCTTATTTGCTTGCTTTTGAACTATAAAATATACCATTGAAAACATTGTTATATCAGTTTGATCTTATCAGAAACTTATCTCAAGGAGTCATTTTTGCCTTCCAAGTTTTTATCTTGGGACTGAAAAACAATTACTCTATATGCTGTAGAGATGCAGGGAAAGAGAGTGGGGGCAAGTTTGAAATAAAACAAAAAACACAAAATCACCCCCCCCAACCCCTTCCCCAGCACACACAAAAATTATCCTTTTAGCAATATGTATGCCCATGGTTGTTTCAGGTCAGTGACTCACTACTAGCGATGAACCGAAATGAAAATTCTGGTGCCGAAACCAAAAATTCGAAATGCACTTGGCCGAAAACCAAAAAACGTGCAGTTTTTAAAATATAAATATAGAAGGGGGCGCATGCGCGGCCGGCACTGAAGGTGGACGTGTAGTGTGACAGCGCCGTCCACCCGCCAGCCTATAAGCGGCACAAACCAGCCCTGGGACTCCTCATCCGCACCGACACTATAAGGTGCCCGACCACCCACAGACATGCCAAGGAGGAAGAAGTCCTCAGATCAGCCTGGAAAGCTGACACAATTCTTCCTGGCCGTCGGGCCGGGAATCCAAGATGGCGCCCGCGGCTGCACACAGGGAGACAACAGCAGAGTCCAGCAGGAGGACTACAGGGCCCAGCAACTAGATCCCAGGCTTCAACATTCACTTTACCCTGGGGACCCTGGTGAGTTGTCACCCCCACTGTCCCCTACATCACACAGCCCAGCTAAATCCAGGCCACGGCTAGATCAGGACCCCAGCACGCTATACCAGGCCTCAAACCCTCCATTACAACCACCCCACATGGTTATGCCTGACATAGACGCATTCCCTGCGTCGGACCTACCTATGACAGAAATATGCATGAAAAACATGCTCACGTCCTTGCGACAGTCTCTACATAACGATATCTTGACGTCACTCAACCAACTGTCCAATATAGTACAACATCAAGAACACAGAATCAGCCACATTGAAAATAGCATGGGAGATATAATAACGGCACATAATAACTTAATTGATGCGCATACAGAGCACTCGACCGACATTGAACAAATCAATCAAAAACTTGCCGATTTAGAAGACAGATCACGCCGCAACAACATCAAATTCAGAGGAATTCCCGAATCGGTAACCAATGCTGACTTAATCCCATACATACAGCAATATATCAAAATCCTCATCCCATCAATTTCTGACTTAGAGATTGCAATTGACCGTGCGCATCGCCTACCTAAGCCTTCCTTTTTACCATCGTCCACCCCTAGAGATGTACTAGCCCGCATTCATTTTTTTCCATGTGAAAGATAAAATTATGTCGGCGGCCCGCAATCCGCCGCCGCTCCCACCATCGCACACAAATCTTCGCTTATATGCTGATTTATCTAAAGCTACCCTCTTTAACAGAAAACGATTGATAACCATCACCAAGGCCCTAAGAAATCATGGCATAGCATACCAATGGGGGTTCCCCACCAAATTACTGGTGCGGCAACATGGTAGAATTTTCACTATCAAAACACTGGAGGCAGGCCTGGATCTACTGAAAACCTGGAATATTCTCCCTGCGGAACCACAAGAATCCGCACATAATTCTATGGAGGCAACATAGCCATTACAGGACATACTTCATTCTCTTTTCACTAAAATATGTTCACACTTTCTCCCAGGAGCCACTTTTTCATTTGATATGGCTGGCGTTTGGCCTAATTTCTGCAAAGTTTTCTTAAAACAATTACAACTGGCCTGACTCCCTCCTGGCGGTCAAGCCTACCAGCACCCCCTGGTTTTGAGGTAGCAATGTTGGCTACTCGAGGTATTTGCTTTTTTTGCAAATTTTTTTTATTGTTGTTCTTTATATCCTTATCCCTTCCCCACCATGGCACCTTTGGATACCCTATCAACACCCAAATGTCACTTACTTCGACACACTTCGGAATACTCCCCTCAACGCTCCGATTGAGATCACAACTCTATCACCTACACTTGATAACCTATTCTCTTGCAAAGTTCAAAATCTTATGCTTCTCCCAAATACCACCTCAGATTACGGATAAGCATGGAACTATGATTACAAATGATTAATTTTATATCATTTAATGTCAGAGGCCTAAATTCACCATATAAACGTTCCTTACTGTCTAGAGAAGCTCGGAAGTCACAAACGGACATACTCTTTATACAGGAAACACATTTTGCCGCCAAAAAGACGCCCAAAATATATCTTCACCGTTTCTCTCAGGTATTTATGGCAACCAACCCCAAAAAAAAGAATGGAGTGCTCACGGCCATTAAGGGCTCTCTTTCATTCCGTATCCTATCACAGAAGGCAGATCCACTAGGACGTTTCCACATTTTAATGTGCCAAATAAACGACAAGACCCATACATTAGTGAATGTTTATGGCCCGAACTGCAAACAAATACGCTTCTACAGTAAACTTTACAAAACCATCTCCATACTTAAACAAGGGAAACTCATCATCGGTGGCGATCTCAACATTACGGGAAACGCGGACATGGACTCATCCTCCACTTCGAAATTCACAAAGCCTACTCTTAACCAGTTTCTGCACGAAAATGACCTTTATGACATCTGGAGATGTCAACACGGCTCTGAAAGAGACTATACTTATTACTCCCCTCCACATCTCTCATACTCGCGAATAGACATGTTTATCACGGACAAATGGACACTACAACATGTGACAACATCCAAAATAGGGACTATAACCTAGTCGGACCATGCCCCAATCCAAATATCATTGGACGACGACCAAAACACAGCGCTTCCACCCATTTGGAGACTTAACTCCTCACTTTTAACAGCACAGGAAAACCAGAAACGGATCCAAGAAGCTCACAAGCTCTTTTTTGATACCAATATCACCCATGATATATCTATCACCACACTTTGGTTGGCCTACATGAGAGGTATCCTCATCCAGTTAAACTCCCGCACTAAGAGACAACGTTCCCAACAAATCGACCAGCTCATGACCTCCATCCGTTTAAACGAAAAACTTAACCAACATCCAAACCCCGCTACAACGGCGACCCTGAACGCAGATAGGAACAGATTACGCGCCATTTTACTGCATGCATACGACACTAATCTACAAATAACAAAAGCTAAATTTTATGCACTCGTTAACAAAGCAAATTCACTGCTTAGTAAAACTAACAAAAACGACTTAAAACCAAAATATCCACAATCCGACATCCTACTTCGCACAACATTCTGAGAAACCCACGGGATATAGCCAACGCTTTTGCAGCCTGCTATCAGGCATTATATAACCTAAAAGATGACACCAATACAAACCAACCTACGACACAAGCAATAGAGCAATTTCTACATAACACTAATCTCCCACACATAACCCCATCTCAACTTGAATCTATCTCTCTACCAATTTCCCCTGCTGAGATCGAAAAAAATCATACACACCCTTCCTCTGAATAAATCACCAGGAAACGATGGCTTTACTAATGAATATTACAAAACATTTGCCCCCAAACTCTCTCCGCATCTAACCACTCTTTATAACCATGTAGCCGCCTGTGGAGAATTCCCCCAAGACATGCTACAGTCAATAATTACTACCATCCCGAAACCCGGGAAAGACCCCCAACTAGTACAAAATTACAGGCCAATTTCACTCCTCAACACAGATATAAAGATATACGCTAAGATAATTGCCCTAAGATTACTCCCTTACTTACCGACTTTAATTCATCCAGACCAAGTAGGATTTATCCCTGGTAGACAAGCTCCTGACGCCACCAGACGGATCATATCCCTGATACACCACCTTGAATTAAATACCCAACTCTCGCTCTTACTATCGCTTGATGCAGAAAAAGCGTTTGACCGAATCCATTGGCAGTTTATGACGCATACACTCCAAAAATTTGGAATATCTGATTGGATGCTATCGGCCATTTTGTCCCTCTACTCTCTAATCCATCAGCCAGAGTCCTAACTAACGGCACACTATCCCAACCCTTCTACATTTCTAACGGAACTAGACAAGGCTGCCCATTATCCCCTATAATCTTTGCTCTACTCATCGAACCACTAGCAACCAACCTTAGAAATGACCCCAATTTCACGGGAATTAAATGCTTAAAATCCGAACATAAGATCAGTCTATTTGCAGACGACATTATCCTAATGGTTACTAACCCATACAATTCTCTCAACACCATTCGACAGCATATCCAAAACTATGCATCCGTATCTTACTACAAACTCAATGAGCCGAAATCCTCCATACTGAACCTACACACACCTGAGATTACCCAAAACCTAATTTCCAAACACTTTCCTTTTACCTGGGAACAACTTAGCATCCCATACCTGGGAATTAAACTAACAGCAAAGACCAACCAACTATATAATGCTAATTTTAAACCACTACTTGAATCTATTCCGCAAGAGATTAAAGGACTACGCACCACTACTCTCTCGACATTAGGCAGAATAGCGACAATTAAAATGTGTATATTACCCAAGATACTTTACATCTTCCGCACGCTCCCTATCCCAATTCCCCACATCTTTTTTACAAAAATTCAGGCAATATTGAACAAATTTCTTTGGAATTCGAAAAAGCCTAGATGTGCCACAAATCTCCTAATCCGTCCAACCACCAGAGGTGGTGCGGGTCTCCCACATGTAAAATGATATTACCTTGCCGCTCTACTTGATCAGCTCTTCTTCTGGTGGCAGCCCACAATAAACAAAACTTGGACTTTTATGGAAACTTCTCTATTCCTTCCACACACCTTGTCAGATCTATTATTCATACCCCGCGGAATACACACCCACCCCTGCATATTAGCTTCTCTAACAGCTTGGTATGACTTTATTTCTCATACACAATTACGTAAGGACAACCTTCAAATTCTCACTCCGCTTTCGTCCCTGCACTTCCTCTCTCCTCACTTAAATCTCAATTTATGGATAAATCGTGGAATACTTTACTTACAAGACCTGTACACTAACAATAAACTACATACCTTCCAAAGTTCCAAAGAGAAAAATACCAGATTCCGGCTACTGAACACTTTACTTATATACGTATAACACATGCCCTTTGCAAAGCCCATATTCCACTTCACATAAAAATCCCAGCAACTACACAGCATTTCTTGCAAAAAACAACCTATCCTAAAAAAGGTATTTCAATGTTTTACACGGCTTTGGTTGAATCACAATTTACTACACACACATCGTCCCTAGCAAATTGGGAAAAAGTACTACACCATCCTATATCTCTCGGCACTTGGTAAAAAACTTTTGCCATTACTTACATATCTTCAAAGTGCAGTTCACATTGGGAAACATATTTGAAAGTGCTACACCAATGGTACTTGACTCCCGTTAAACTAGCCTCATTCTATCCCCAACATTCCCAAACCTGTTGGAGACATTGTGGCGAAGCGGGTTCTCTTCTTCACTTACTATGGGCATGTAAATCCCTGACCTCTTACTGGAACCAAGTTTTTCAAATAATCTCTTCCATCACAAAGACTCCAATAACCCCAGACCCAGCTCTAGCGCTCCTCCATATTGGAATAGATGAAATTCCACTACCTCACGCATCATTACAATACACATTCTGTTAGCTGCAAAGCTCAATATCACCAGGCTTTGGCGATCTACTAACATTCCATCTTTGTCCCGACTACTGACCGATCTTAACTTCCTGTGTGAAATGGAGAGAAGAACAGCCCTCCATAATTTCTCATATCGCAAATTTGAGACTCACTGGACCCGGTGGTTACACAACCCCAATTATCTAATGAAATGATTCTACAATATACATCCATGATATATGACCCTACCACTTTCGGTGCCTCTACCTCCCCTTCTTCCCCTCTCCCCCACTTCTGATCCCCCCTTAATATACCTACCATAGCTCAATAAGGTTCACAAAATTGAGCATACCTCTCATGTAACTGAATCAAGACTATGCACTGGACCTCGGCCCCCTGGCGGGGTACCACTATTCCATTCTCCACTACCCATACAATGTTTTGTATTAATGGTGAACCGTTTTCTACCATCGTTCTCACTTATTCTGTATGTTCAAACTGTTTCAATAAAAATATTTAAATATAAAATATAAATATATCTTTTGGAAAAAAATACACCAATTAAAAAAAAAAAAACAAAAAAAAAAGCCAGAATGGGAAGTAACATCACTCCAGTCCTCCAAGGGCATAGAGATGAGTGGCAGCCATCTTTCCTTCACTCATCTCTATGCCCAGCACTGGGATCGATGGTTTCTCAGGCAAGGCTGAGAACTACCGAGCGGCGACCGGTGGCAGCAATGAGGTTTTTTCAGCACCTGGATAGGTGCTTTTTTTTTTTTCATTTCGCCCAAAAGGGGTGTTTTCGGCCACCAACATTTCGGTGCATTCCTACTCAGGGTACTTAGGATATGCTCACATCAGCTGCTGCATTGCAAAGCAATGGCTGGTGTGTGGTGCAGTCTGGCAGAAATAAGCACAGTGATGATGTGCTAAACTCAGCTTATTGCACCTTTTCCTTTTTAAATGAATTTTACTGATATGTCACACAGAAAGTTCAGCTGCTAGCTTATCAGTGGATTGCCGTACGCTGCCCTGAAAAAAGTACTGCATGCAACACAGTGGTGTGAACCAGACAGACAAGGCCTTTAGGCATTTGCCTTGTCATGTGGACTGTGCTGGAATAGCCAATCGACGTATTCCCAGACATGGTGTGAAGGGACCCTTAGTGAGTAATTAAAACAGTTGAAAGACCTGAAGCCTTCATCTTCAAAAACAAGTCTGCACTAGCAGCTCCTATATTTCCATCCTGACATTTTAGCTTCAAGGAAAAGAAAAAAAAAAAAAAAAAAATATCAGAAATGTTTATATAAAAAGCATGGTCCGATTTAAATTTTAACAAAACTCTACCAAACAAATTTTGACATGAAAAATAACTGCTTTAAAAAACACCGTTCATTTTATGAATAAACAAACCACAGGTACAGCTGCCAGACTATTACTTATGAAAAATAAGTAATTACAGACACAAACCACTTACTTGGCATGGCTCAAATATAAAGCCTGGCGATGTATATCGTCAGGATCAATCTCAACAGGGTATATTGCAGCAAGCTGATCAATTGACCATTTAAACTGATGAGGAGTCTGGAATTAAAAAAAAAAAAAAAAAAAGTTTGCTTAGTATATACCTAAAGTGGTTCTAAAAGCTTGCAAGGGTGCTCAATCTGTAGTCCTCCAGGTGTTGCAGAACTAAAAGTCCCATCATGCCTCTGCCTTGGGAGTCATGTTTGTAACAGTCAGCCTTACAATGCCTCATGGGACCTGTAGTTCCACAACAGCTGGAGGACCGCAGGTTGAGCACCCATGGGCCTTAAAGGATTCATTCATCTTTTTGAAAAAAGTAAAATGCACATTTCTTGCAAGAAAAAAAAACAAAAACACAGACACACTTTTTTAATTTATTTATTTTGGGTACTTATATAGCGTTGTTAATTTAAGCAGCGCTTTACACACACACACACACACACACACACACACACACTACTACATTCACATCAGTCCCTAACCCTCAAGGAGCGTACAATCTAAGATTCCTAACTTGTATTGATACATATACGAGGGTCAATTTAGACAGGATCCAATTAACCTACCAGCATGTCTATGGAGTGTGGGAGGAAACCAGAGTACCCAGAGGAAACCCATGCAGGCACAGGGAGAACATGCAAACTCCAGACAGGTGGTTCTGTGGCTCAAACCAACGAACCTAGTACTGCCAGGTATAAGTGCTAACCATTTTGCCACTGTACTGCCCGTTCAAATGAATGGGCTGAAAATTGCATCGCACAGGAATGCAGAGCATATATTACTACGGAAATTTCACCCCATACTTTGTGAAGCCAGATATATTTAAAAGTACCCCTTCCAGGTCCTTTGTCACCAGCAGGTGGGGTATTACTGATTCAGTGTCGTGATGCAATAACACCCCCCACCCCTACAGGATTACCAGTCCCCTGTGATGACATCGGGACAAGAGCACCTTGCCACTGGTTGTCCAATAGGAAGTCTCCACGTCATGCAGACACTGGCATGCGACACCCAAAGAAGGACCCTTCCAGGAAGTAAACAGAAGAGGATAAGGCTCAGAGTTGCAACATCACATGACCGCCAGTTAAGGTAGGTGAAAAAGGGCATTTCCATGAGGATTTTTTTCCCCTCTTTCCACTGATCAGATAGAGGGGCGTGAGGAACAATTCTGCAGTGGGGCTCAACAACTTCAGGTAAAAAGCACAGAAAGAAAAAAAAAAAAAAAAAAAAAAAAAAAAAAAAAAAAAAAACTTACAGCATGCCTTTGAACTTGCTAGCAAATTTGACTAATTCAGGAAGAGTCAATTTCCTAGCACAACCTCCCTCCTTGCATGTCAGATCCCTCAGCTTTTCTACTACAGGAATAGCCATGATCTTCTATGCCCTGTGCCAAGAGGCTGCCTTTCTGCATAGTGAGTACATGGGGTTGCTCACCCAACACAGTGGATATTCACAAAACACCTTATTTTCAATTAATACATGGCGTCCTCTGTGTGGAGAAGACCATGACATCATCCAGACACTCAGCTCACAGAGGTAATAGCTACAAGAAAAGCCATTCAAGAGTGGAGAAAGAAATAGCTGTGATGAGTTAAAAATCTAACATCTAATGGGGATCCAAGGGGGAGCCACATGTGAGACACCTCTCTCAGAACCTAAACTTTAACATCCATACAGTTAAAGCCAGAAACTGGAGCAAAGCGGTAAATTGCTCTTTGAGACAGAAGATCCAGACTATCTAGAAGAGCCCATAGGGCAGTGATGGCGAACCCGTGGCACGCGTGCCACAGCCGGCACGCCGAGCCTTATCTGTGGGCACGCCAGGAGAATCCAGCGGTGCGCTGTCTTCCCGGCTGTAGTGTGCGTGACAGCCGGGTCCCAAGTGCGCATGCACAAGAAGCAGTGCCCTTTGTGAATGGTAAGGCGGTACCTGGGACACATGACAGATCCCAGAAGCCGCCGGACCAATCACAAAGCGCAGCGCTTCTCGCGCATGCGCACTGGGCATCCGGCTGTCCGACGAGCGCCCACACTACAGAAGCCGGGAAGACAGCGCGCGGCTGGATAAAGGAACAGGTAAGATAAAAAAAAAACTCTGCGGAAGTAAGAGCGGGTACCTGTCAAATTAAGGTACCCGCTCCCCCTCCCTCCCCAAAGGTCAGCAGTCATCCCTGTGCTGTCCGCAGTCTCTGGTCATCCCCTGTGCTGTGTCCGCAGTCTCTGGTCATCCCTGTGCTGTGTCCGCAGTCTCTGGTCATCCCTGTGCTGTGTCCGCAGTCTCTGGTCATCCCTGTGCTGTGTCCGCAGTCTCTGGTCATCCCTGTGCTGTGTCCGCAGTCTCTGGTCCCCTGTGCTGTGTCCGCAGTCTCTGGTCATCCCTGTGCTGTGTCCGCAGTCTCTGGTCATCCCTGTGCTGTGTCCGCAGTCTCTGGTCATCCCTGTGCTGTGTCCGCAGTCTCTGGTCATCCCTGTGCTGTGTCCGCAGTCTCTGGTCATCCCTGTGCTGTGTCCGCAGTCTCTGGTCATCCCTGTACTGTGTCCGCAGTCTCTGGTCATCCCTGTACTGTGTCCGCAGTCTCTGGTCATCCCTGTACTGTGTCCGCAGTCTCTGGTCATCCCTGTACTGTGTCCGCAGTCTCTGGTCATCCCTGTACTGTGTCCGCAGTCTCTGGTCATCCCTGTACTGTGTCCGCAGTCTCTGGTCATCCCTGTACTGTGTCCGCAGTCTCTGGTCATCCCTGTACTGTGTCCGCAGTCTCTGGTCATCCCTGTACTGTGTCCGCAGTCTCTGGTCATCCCTGTACTGTGTCCGCAGTCTCTGGTCATCCCTGTACTGTGTCCGCAGTCTCTGGTCATCCCTGTACTGTGTCCGCAGTCTCTGGTCATCCCTGTACTGTGTCCGCAGTCTCTGGTCATCCCTGTACTGTGTCCGCAGTCTCTGGTCATCCCTGTACTGTGTCCGCAGTCTCTGGTCATCCCTGTACTGTGTCCGCAGTCTCTGGTCATCCCTGTACTGTGTCCGCAGTCTCTGGTCATCCCTGTACTGTGTCCGCAGTCTCTGGTCATCCCTGTACTGTGTCCGCAGTCTCTGGTCATCCCTGTACTGTGTCCGCAGTCTCTGGTCATCCCTGTACTGTCCGCAGTCTCTGGTCATCCCTGTACTGTGTCCGCAGTCTCTGGTCATCCCTGTACTGTCCGCAGTCTCTGGTCATCTCCTGTACTGTGTCCGCAGTCTCTGGTCATCTCCTGTACTGTGTCCGCAGTCTCTGGTCATCCCTGTACTGTGTCCGCAGTCTCTGGTCATCCCTGTACTGTGTCCGCAGTCTCTGGTCATCCCTGTACTGTGTCCGCAGTCTCTGGTCATCCCTGTACTGTGTCCGCAGTCTCTGGTCATCCCTGTACTGTGTCCGCAGTCTCTGGTCATCCCTGTACTGTGTCCGCAGTCTCTGGTCATCCCTGTACTGTGTCCGCAGTCTCTGGTCATCCCTGTACTGTGTCCGCAGTCTCTGGTCATCTCCTGTACTGTGTCCGCAGTCTCTGGTCATCTAATGTACTGTGTCTGCAGTCTCTGGTCATCCCTGTACTGTGTCCGCAGTCTCTGGTCATCCCTGTACTGTGTCCGCAGTCTCTGGTCATCCCTGTACTGTGTCCGCAGTCTCTGGTCATCCCTGTACTGTGTCCGCAGTCTCTGGTCATCCCTGTACTGTGTCCGCAGTCTCTGGTCATCCCTGTACTGTGTCCGCAGTCTCTGGTCATCTCCTGTACGGTGTCCGCAGTCTCTGGTCATCTCCTGTACTGTGTCCGCAGTCTCTGGTCATCCCTGTACTGTGTCCGCAGTCTCTGGTCATCCCTGTACTGTGTCCGCAGTCTCTGTACTGTCATCTCCTGTACTGTGTCCGCAGTCTCTGGTCATCCCTGTACTGTGTCCGCAGTCTCTGGTCATCCTCTGTACTGTGTCCGCAGTCTCTGGTCATCTCCTGTACTGTGTCCGCAGTCTCTGGTCATCCCTGTACTGTGTCCGCAGTCTCTGGTCATCCCTGTACTGTGTCCGCAGTCTCTGGTTATCCCTGTACTGTTAATTAGTTTGCACTACTGTACGAGTTGTTTTTTCTAAACCAAAAGCTCGATATTCAGGTTTCATTGCAGTGTTGGCACTTTGAAAGAAATAAGTTGGTTTTGGGTTGCAGTTTGGGCACTCGGGCTCAAAAAGGTTCGCCATCACTGCCATAGGGTGTCTGATCAGGTCAGAATGCCACATCTGCTTGGGCCTGTCTGAAGCTTTGAAATCTCCAGAATGCTCTTCATCTTAATACTGCAAAGCAGCCCAATAGGAAGCTTCGAGGAAAGCTATAGATCAGCGTGAACAGATACCACAAAGCATCCACTGCTTATCCCCGTACCTGGAGTCAAACTGGGACAGTTTTGTTAAACTTGGGGCAAGGAGGTTCACATCCGGAAACCCCCACATTTGAGACAGGTCCTGGAGTACTTGCTGGTGTAAAAATCACTTTCATGGGAATAGACGTTACCGGCTGAAAACGTCTGCCTGCCAATTGTCCACGCCTCGAATGTAAAAAGGCATACAAGACTGAACGTGAAGTTCTGCACAAGACAGGATCCCCTCTACCTCTCTTGCAGTAGAGAGACCTCTGGTTCCATCCTGATGGTGGAAGCAGGTCATTTTTTTGCCCCTGAGATGGCGTTTATATACAGTTGTGTCCAAAATTATTCAACCCCCACTGAAATTGAGTGTTTTGGCCAGTTTGACATTGCTTTTGATCATTCAGTCATCTTGCTTACATTTACATTAAAGAGGCACTTGTAGGTCAGACAAATATAACATAACAGTTATAATGAAATAACCACAAATGTCTTTTCTGTGCTCACAGCATTATCAGTTTTATTCAACCCCCAAGTGACATTCAATCTTAGTACTTAGTACAGCATCCTTTTACAGTTATAACAGCTTTTAAACGTGAAGCATAGCTTGACACAAGTGTCTTGCAGCGATCTACGGGTATCTTCGCCCATTCTTCATGGGCAAAGGCCTCCAGTTCAGTCACATTCTTAGGCTTGCGCACTGCAACTGCTTTCTTTAAGTCCCACCAGAGGTTCTCAATCGGATTTAAGTCTGGTGACTGCGATGGCCACTCCAAAATGTTCCAGCCTTTCCTCTGCAACCATGCTCTAGTGGACTTGGAGGTATGCTTGGGATCATTGTCCTGTTGAAAGGTCCAACGTCTCCCCAGCCTCAGGTGTGTGACGGACTGCATCACGTTTCCATCCAATATCTCCTGGTACTGAAGAGAATTCATGGTACCTTGCACACGCTGAAGCTTCCCTGTACCTGCAGAAGCAAAACAGCCCCAAAGCATGATTGACCCTCCACCATGCTTCACAGTAGGCAAGGTGTTCTTTTCATCATAGGCCTTGTTCTTCCTCCTCCAAACATAGCGTTGATCCATGGGCCCAAACAGTTCTAATTTTGTTTCATCAGTCCACAGAACACTATCCCACAACTTTTGTGGTTTGTCCACATGGCTTTTGGCATACTGCAGTCGACTCTTCTTATTCTTTGGAGACAGCAAGGGGGTACGCCTGGGAGTTCTGGCACGGAGGCCTTCATTACGCAGTGTGCGTCTTATTGTCTGGGCTGAAACTTCTGTACCCACATCTGACAAATCTTTTCTCAGTTCCTCAGCAGTCACACGGGGACTTCTCTCCACTCTACGCTTCAGGTAGCGCACAGCAGTCGAAGTCAGCATCTTCTTTCTGCCACGACCAGGTAGCGTTTCAACAGTGCCCTTTGCCTTGAATTTGCGAATGATGCTTCCTAAGGTGTCTCTTGGTATGTTTAACATCTTTGCAATCTTCTTATAGCCATTGCCCTTCCTGTGAAGAGAAATCACCTCTTCTCTTGTCTTCCTGGACCATTCTCTTGCCTTCACCATGTTTGTAACCACACCAGTAAATGTCTAGAAGGAGCTGAGTATCACAGTCATTTTAAAGCTGCCTAATTGGTGCTTATTATGCTTGATTGCTGCTCGGTGACATCCACAGGTGTTTTCAATACCTGATGGAAAGCACCTGTATGAACCTCTGTTCTTCAGAGTGGTAGTCTTTAAGGGGTTGAATAATTGTGGCAATGAAGAAACCACATAAGAACCATTTACTACTGTATTACATAAACAATTGATGTCATTTTAGTTGCATTTGGGTAGTTACAACGTCCTTGTAGGATTTGATTCTGAATACAATTCCAAATGTACACTATAGTCCCTAAACCCCTTTACAGCATTGGGGGTTGAATAATTTTGGACACAACTGTACATACAATGATCCACCATGAAACTAGCACCGCCTAAGTTTTGAGTTTTTAGATTAAAAAAGTACTTAGATACTTACGGCTGAAGACTTTGCAGGTTTGAACATGGATGGACTGGAAACAAATGGCTCGTTTAAGCTGCAGTAATCATTGGGACTCTCAAAAGGGTTAAGAACTTTTTTATGTCCTGGGGTTTCTGGTGTTAACTGAGCATGAACATCACCCATTTCAGAAAGGAGACAATGATACCTGTGCAAAAACAAAGGAAACAAAAAAGGGTTCATGAAAAATCCATAACTATGCAATGAAAATGCTTGCTATAACTGCTGGAGAACAATAGCCTGTGCATGAGCATCCCCAATCTGTTACAAAATAAAGGTTGTGTTAGAGAAGGTTTAATGTATTCCTGTGCTAGATACATTTTGAGCACAAACGTTGGATTGTACATTTTGGTATATTGGGGGGGGGGGGGATTAGAACCCATGTCTGGCTTGTATTACTGCCTGCTGTGTGCCCCTCTGGTAAGATCCAATACACATGAAAGGATGGGGATTCTAAACTTTCAGGGATCATTCACACTTGCTTTTCTCTCTGAAAAGCGATCCACATTTGGCTCAGTCTTCAGCGAATATTTGACAGGCAGTGAGGAGACATTGTATTGCCTCCTCACCGACTGATATAAGCCCTTGTTCGCCAAACTAGTTTTTCCACAAATGCATGCATTGAAGAAAACTATTGCAGCATACTCCGGCCGCTGCCACTGCGAATAAAGGGGAGCAGTAAAAGTGCGGCTCAACCGCAGGGCTTTACTGCCCCGCTATCGCTAGTGTGAATGAGTCCTAAGAGAAGAGGGAATCTTCCCATGGAGACATCTGCTTCAGTGACAAGACTCAGGCAAATGCCAGCAAGAATCAGAGACATTATTCCCATTCACAGTGTTTGTGAACAGCTGCAGCATGGCCAGATTCGTACCCTGTACAGTTCAGCACAATTCACATACAAGTGCTGGTCGTGCGATCAGGGACTGTGGACGCAGACAGCTTTGGTTATTTTTATGGCCGGTGTTTGACTGCTCCAGTCATAGCACAGCTGAGCCCACAGGCAGCGTTTACCCACATCTGACCGCAGCAGCCTACCCACCCTCATTCTCCTGAGAAGGATACATTTGAACGGACAACTAGCACCGGTGTGGTGTGAATAACAGTGGAAGGATTCTAGTGATTCCTACAGCTGTTTCAGCCACCTATGGCCGCCAAGCCCTGTATACAAAAAGTGGTAGTAAACTCAATTTGTATACTTTTACTTACAGGAAAGCCTATAATAAAGCTTACCTGCAGGTAATATGAATATCTCCTAAATGTTCACCATTAAGGACAGGGGTGTCAAACTCAATTTCATGGCGGGCCGCATCAGCATTATGGTTACCCACAAAGGGCCGGTTGTATCTGTAAGACTAGATATCCAGAGTACCCCATCCTCCCTTACATCACAGTGCACCCCCCCTTTACCTTGTGCTACTGCCAGGAAGAAGCTGGAGGCAGAGCTGGGAAGCATTAAGTGCAATGTCTGGAGGAGGACCAAAAGAGTGCTGGAGTCAGCTGCCAGAGTCTACAGGGGAGGTGGAGGCAAGGGGGTGCTGCGGCTGCACAGAGATGTGCAGGATCTGTAGGAAGAGTTCTGTCCTCCTCTCTGCTGCCAATTGCTGAAACCAGGGGTAGGGGTTACAGAGATTAGCCTCTTTGTGTCTGCATGGCAAAGAGCAGGATCTGAAGGAGGAGTTCCGTCCTCCTCTCTTCTGTTGACAGCTGAGACCAGATGGAGACGAGGAAGTGCAACAGCTGCAGGAGAGGTCTGAGGGCCATATGAAATGGCCTGGAGGACCAGATTTGGGCCTCAGACCTTGTGTTTGACATCTGTGGTTTAGGAGATATTCTAGGGAGCGGCGGCAGTGACATCACCTTCAGAGCAGTGCGCTGTGGCTGTAGCTCCTGTGTGGTAGTGACATCACAGCTTCAGTCACTCAAGTGGCTGCAGCCCGGGAACCTAGAAGGAAGACTGGGTGAAGATGGAAGCCCTGGCAGCAGTGACAGAGCACCGCTGGAGGGCTTCGTTCTCAGGTAAATCTTTCATAATGTGCTAGAATGTGATGCATACCAGCACGTTATGACATTACCTTGCAGGGCAATCAATTTTTTCTGTTTACTACTGCTCTAGCCCAGGTTCACGCTGATGCGGTGCAGCATTGTATGCGATTCGCACAGGAACCACACTGCATTCCTGTGTAAATCACATGCGATTTCTGTGCAGTGCAATTTGAGCCATACATTTTGTATGGCTCAAATCACACCGCATCCATGCCAAAAAAAAAGGGCAGGACCCTTTTGTTGTCTGCACCAGAATCGGATCAAATGGATGTTCACACCCATGCAATCCGATTCTGCACATCGCACCGCATTTTGGAGTTCGCGTTCAGGGTTTGGTTAACTTAATATACACACCCGCAGCTGTACGCATGAACAGGTGCAATTATGATGCGGTGCAGAAATTGTCCAGAAACTGATGTGAATTTGGAGCTGCATCAGTGAGAACCCAGGATGAATGACAGGTCAATGATGGCCGCAGCTATCCAACCTGCCAGCATCACTGCTAGAAGCACACAAAGTGCAAATGTAGCCTAATGCCTCCTACACACAATCAGATAATTGGATGATTTATCGTTCATTTTTCGTTGCATGCTAGTCTCATATAGAAAATGAGGTTGCTAAAGTTCCTCATACAACAGAATACACCACTTCAGAAGTGATGGAATGTATTGTATTCTTTCATTTCTGAGCATGCGTGTCTTTGTCTCTCCATTTATTTTCAGGTGAACACTGTACTAATTAAACAAAATTCGTTTGTGCTGTTATTGTATGAGGAAAGTTTTCCTGCTTGTTCCTTCAGTAAGAGGGGATTTTTCTCCCTATATAGAGATTTCTAACTTCCTCTTGTGTCACTAGGACAGGAAATGAAGGGGAATGTCTGCAATGGGACACAATGATGAAAACCTGACAGGAGCTCTGAACATCTCATACTCCCATCCAAAAAAAAAAAAGAGGTTGTCTTTAGACATACTTTACCCTTACACACAAGGGGGGTCTAGTCCTGATCTCTATTCCATTGCCAGGGACACACCCGTCTCCAGCGGTGTCTTATCTGTATAATAGGTGTGATAATGAACAATACGCTCACCAGGCCTCCTCCACAGCCCCGAACCTCCCGCTTGTCGCCCCGCCACTGAAGCACGCTCGTCCTCTTCCACAATTTTCCTGTACAACTACGGAACGCCTCACACAACCAATCAACGCTAGTCTCTGTACCAATTTACCAATCACATGGCAGCAAAGGGGCAGAACTACCACAATACTAACGTCGCCCAATGACTGGGTATCCTCTATACAAATTCGAATAGGTCTCCGCCCCCATCACCATGTGAACTACCTACAACTTCCTCTTCACGGCTACTTCCAGTCAGTGGGCGTGATCTGCACGTAGTGACTGTCAACACTGATCGCCATCGACTCCGCCTCTGTACTCACTCTCCGCCCTAACGTCTGCTACTGGTATCTGACAGCGCTTCCGGGTCACCAGAGCACGGGGTCACCATGGCCAGCGCGCCGGTTAGTGTCAGTGCTATGCGGGAGACTATGGACGGTGAGTGGCTCCGGTGTGTTAATCAGAAATGGGAAATCCAGAAACCAGGATCATGTCTATACTGAATATGACGCTCTACAGCTCGAGACTTTAATGTGGACCTGTCATCTACTAAACGTCTTTGCCTTGTTTTAGTAACTATACTCTGCACCCTCCCATGCACTGGAAGGTGGAACTAAACGCAATACATTTTCTTCCATTTTGGTAGAGTAAGAAGGTTGTAACTAGGGATGCAACGATACCTCTTTTTCATCAGAGAGTATGAGTACCAATACTTTCTGTCAGGTACTCGCTGGGGCCGGGTCAGTCGGTGAGGCGCTCGCTGGGGCCGGGTCAGTCGGTGAGGCGCTCGCTGGGGCCGGGTCAGTCGGTGAGGCGCGCTCGCTGGGGCCGGGTCCGTCGGTGAGGCGCTCGCTGGGGCCGGGTCCGTCGGTGAGGCGCTCGCTGGGGCCGGGTCCGTCGGTGAGGCGCTCGCTGGGGCCGGGTCCGTCGGTGAGGCGCTCGCTGGGGCCGGGTCCGTCGGTGAGGCGCTCGCTGGGGCCGGGTCCGTCGGTGAGGCGCTCGCTGGGGCCGGGTCCGTCGGTGAGGCGCTCGCTGGGGCCGGGTCAGTCGGTGAGGCGCTCGCTGGGGCCGGGTCCGTCGGTGAGGCGCTCGCTGGGGCCGGGTCCGTCGGTGAGGCGCTCGCTGGGGCCGGGTCCGTCGGTGAGGCGCTCGCTGGGGCCGGGTCCGTCGGTGAGGCGCTCGCTGGGGCCGGGTCAGTCGGTGAGGCGCTCGCTGGGGCCGGGTCAGTCGGTGAGGCGCTCTCTGGGGCCGGGTCCGTCGGTGAGGCGCTCGCTGGGACCGGGTCCGTCGGTGAGGCGCTCGCTGGGGCCGGGTCCGTCGGTGAGGAGCGCGCTCGCTGGGGCCGGGTCCGTCGGTGAGGCGCTCGCTGGGGCCGGGTCCGTCGGTGAGACGCTCGCTGGGGCCGGGTCCGTCGGTGAGGCGCTCGCTGCGTACCGATACTTTGCGGTGCAATTTGTGCCAATACAAAATGTATGGACGCAAATCCCTGCCACTTTCTCTCCTCTCCTACAACTGAGAATACAGAGCATCTGCTACCAGGTCCCCACACGCCCTCTGCTCAGCATGGGACAATGCAGGGAGGTTTCCTTACCGCTCCTGTGTGAACTTGGGCTATGACGAGCCTGGGTTCACACAGGAGCAGTGGGGCAACCGCATGCAATTGGGACAGGATTGTACCTCATGCTATTCTTTGTGGTGCAATTTGCATCCATTGACACAAATCGCACCGCAAAGTATTGGTTTCTGGTATTGGGAGCATTTTATTTTATGAGTACCTGTGAAAATACTTTGAATCTGTATCAGTCCATCCCTTATAACCCCTGTAAGGCTGATTTTTGCCCTCTGTGTCCCTTTGGGGGAGATTCCCCTTCATGTCCTGTCCCATAGCCAAAACAGGAAGTGAAAGAAATCCCTGCAAAGTGACAAAATCTCAGGGTATCAAACCAAGAAGAAAACCCTATTGTGGTTCGTGAACAAAATCTAACAGTAGCACACTAAAATATCGGAATACTTTGTGATACTGCCATGTATTGCTTTTATACCTTCTGATTGGTTAAAAAAAAATATCTGAATACTAGATACAAAAACGTGTTTTCTCTGGTCATCTTCCGGGACAGCACACGTGAGATAACTAGCTCCACCTGACAGGAAACGCAATAAAAAATTGACAGAGTTTAAATTCCCAGCCCTTTCCTCCCCCTCCTCAGTTTTTTTTTTCTATTGTATTTCCCTGCAGCAAAACCCTTTTTTTTTTTTTTTTTTTTTTTTTTTTTACAGACCTAAGGCTTGGGGCTGGAAGGTTCCCCCCTCCCCCCCAGGGGTAAACCGTCGATTCGGAGAGGGCCTGCCTGGCATTCCAGGGATGAGCATCTATCCTCCCTCTTCTGGGTTAGTGGGGAGGCATGCCCAGGAGTGGCCCGGGCCATGAGGTAGCTTCTCGCAGGAATGGGGCCGCTAGCTGGCATGTGACTCGTGTGGTGCGTCCCTGTAGGTGAGCGGGGCGGCCGCAGTGGATTTCGCTGCTAGTCTTCCCAGAAGGCAGATGGAGAGCCCAGGGTCCATGGGAGCGAGGCTGCGGACCAAGCCTTGCTCTCAATAGACTTCTGGCGAGGCTGTACTTCTGCCCTAAAGATGGTAGCACCGGTCGGCGGTGCTTTCCTCATGAGGCTGGCGAGGTGCCTCCAGGAATTACCCCTGGGAGCATGGACCCAGGAGCCTGACAAAGGCAACGCAGTCCCAAAGGGCCAAGGATAAGGATAGAAGAAAGGCAGTGGCTGCAGCCAGTGAGAAGGCCATGGACAGTGAGTCTGACTCAGCTGGTGGGGTAGAGGAGGGGAGCTAAAGTACCCTCCCCTACAGATGTTCTGGGAGGGGGGGGACACCATTTTAAATGGGCCCCTTGTTTATCTCTATTCTATTTATCAAGATAAGATGTGTAGGGGGTTGGTGAAGCCGCAAACTAGGGTACTACCCATGCACCAAACTCAAAGCTATTGTCTTGAGAGAATGGAAGGATCCCAAGAGGAGAGTCTTAAAATTAAAGACCTGGAAAAAGATGGTACCCCTTTGGGGAAGAGGAGGAAGAGAAATTCTTCAAGACCCCCAAATTAGATGCGGCGTTCTCACAAGTGACTAAAAAGTCTGACCTGGCCTTTGAGGACTTGGGTAACATCAAGGATCAGATGGACTGTAGGTCTGAGATGCTGTTGCGTAGAGTCTGGGAGGCCAACACAGCTACTGTAGCCCCAGTCTTGGCATCTGCTTGCATTTCTAGGAATACTGATGCCTGAATGCATAGAGTAGTTGATCACGTCTCTCGGGGTTCCAAGATAAAGGGAGAAGCCCAGACTGAAGAGGTGTTAGAATCCCTGGAAGTGGTCAGTAGGGCTGTCGCCTACTTAGCAGACACTGCAGTAGAGATGGTCAAGATGTCAGCTAAGACGGCAGGATTTATCGACTCAGCCTGGAGGGCGGTGTGGGTTAAGGCCTGGGAGGGCGATCAGACATCATGAGCCCAGCTCTGCTGTCTGCCCTTCAGGGGTTCCTTGCCGTTTGGCTCAGGCTGGAGCAGGTGCTATCAAGGTCCACTGAAAAGGGGAAGAAATTTCCCATCAAGGCCAAGAAGGATAAGGGGAAGAAGGTTTTTTGAGCCCCCCTTAATCAGAGCCAGCAAAGGCTTAGGAAGGACCCTCTGAAGAAATGGACCAGTAAGGGGAGACAGAAAGGGAGCTTCCTTTTTTCTGGCTGCAAACCCACCAGTAAGGAAGGATCACCAATGACATAGATCTCAGGGTGCGCGGAAGGCTGTCCAGGTTCCTCCAGCAGTGGGGGAAAATTTCAGAGAGCCCTTCTATCCTGCAATTGATAAGGGAGGGATATCAGTTGGAATTCTCTTCACTTCCCCCTCATATCCTTTGTGTTGCGTTATCCCCCCAAAGACAGGACAAAGGCAGAGAGTCTCTTGGGAAGGATCAGGGAATTAGCTGATCAGGGGATAATTGTCCCTGTGCTGACGAACCAGCTTTTCCGGGGGTTTTATTACCAAGTCTTTGTAGAAGCCTTCGGGAAAATTCCAATTGATCATAAACCTTAGAAGGTTAAACGGGTTCCTGCGATTACAAAAAGTTCCGTATGGAAAGTATTTACAGCGTACGGAAACTTCTGCTCAGAGGAGTGTTTATGGCCATGGTGGAACTCGGGGATGCCTACCTCCACATTCACATTGCCCTGAAATACCATACCTTCTTACGGTTTGCTATATTTACGGAACGGGGCCAGTCATTGGCAGTTCTGACCCCTTCCGTTTGGGCTGACAGGCAGTCTGAGAATCTTTACCAAAGATCTGGCCAAGGTAATTGCGTATTTGCGTCCCTCATCCCTTAGACGATCTCAATCGGGAAAAGTCCTCATTGACTCCCTCCCAGATCAAGGTGTTCTTTGGGTATGTAGTGGAGTCCAGAGGCTTTTCTTACCCAAGTGGAGTGGGCACAGATACATTCCAGGGAGCTTCAGTTCTTCCTTCTATCCTCGTGGGACAGGAAAACGGAATCGCTGGACAAGAGGGTGTCACTCCTGGAGAATATAAAACACTTGTAAGATGGTGGATCAGGCCCCAGAATCTAGGTCGAGGAAGACCATGGCTGCAGACCCGGTTCGGGTAACCACGGACGCAAGCGAGTGGGGCTGGGGAGCTCATCTAGAACAGGGAGTTGTTGGCTGTAGGTCATGCCTTGAAGTCCTTCGAAGACAGAATTGGGGGAAAAGAAATCCATATTCTGTTGGAACAATATGTCGACAGTGGCATAAATGAATCATTAGGGGGCACCAGATTCTGGAAACTCCTGGACCTAGCTCAGGAGATTCTAAGATGGGTGGAGAGCAGGGTCCTTTAGGTATCTGTGGTACATATAAAAGGCTCGGCCTACACGAAAGCAGATTTTTCAGCTGACAGTTAATCCACCAGGAAGAGTGGGAACTTAATCCTGAGGTCTTTTTGCAGCTGGTTTTTGGCAGCCTAGAAATAGACTTTTTTGCCTGCAGG